ATAAATGTAGTATATATATATATATATATATATATCTATATATATATATTTATATATAGATATATATATGTATAACCTAGGACTAAACTTAACCAGCTATTTGCGATATGAACACTTGACACGGCAAAGTAAATGTCACCTATAGAAGAGGTTAGTGGAGACACGTGCGCACTTGTAAGAATCTATAAGCGTTTTGTAGTCGTTCCTTACATTTTTTGCTATTAATGTATACTGCTTATGAAGCAATTACCGAAACAGGAATATCAAGCCGTCCTATCTGGATGATGAGGGTTATATTTCTCTCAGATATTGTACTAGCATGGAACACCGCATCAGCAAATACACTCTGAAAGAATTCACAATATAGTCTGAGCTTCTCGTGCATGTGTCTTATTATAAACTATAAAGTTGCAGCTTATACCCACGAATGCGCCCGGATACCCAACTTCCTTAAATCTTGGAAATACTTGATACTCGTGGCCAGATCATGATCCTTCCATCCCCAGGTCCATCCCATAAAACACATTGGACTGCCAGATACATGGTCTTCAAAGTAGAACTCGTCGATCAGATGCGCTATGTCTGCATCGAGCAGCTGCCAAGCGAGTGCGGTCTCGACCGCTGGTGTGTCAATGTCGAGTTTGAACACCACAAAATCCTCTTCTCGACAGTTGGCCTTTATATATTGCAGCGGGTTATGCTATGGAGCGAAACAAGCGGAAGAAATGAGCTAATGATTAATGGGACCACCTTGGAGTGGTACCCTATGGCCTATTGTCGTGGTAAGCTGGGGGGAACTGGGTGGTATGGTATAAACAAAATCATGGTGAATACATGGAGCGCAAGCGGAAGAAATAAGCTAACGATAAATAGGACCACCTTGGAGTGGTACCCCATGGCCTACTGTCGCGGAAAGCTGGAGGGCACGGAGTGGTATAAATAAATTCCATGGTGAATACCAAGAAGAAACTACAAGCGGCATTGTACAATTCCACAGGAAGTTCAATGCCCCGACACAGCACCATTGATCACAATGAATAGCCAAAGTGTGTGTTTGTTTTATTTCAATTCTACAAGACAGTTTCCTGGAGGCTACAGAACGGACGAAACGAGCCAAAGAAATGCCTTTTGTTTAATATACATTAAATCAGACGAACAACGTCCCAAGGGCACAGGCACTGCAAAAAAAGAATATTCTAATCCTATTTCGTAAACACCACACACCAGGCTGCCAACTTCAGGGGTCACAGGAATCGCGAAAAAGGACGACTTCACAAGAATATCAGCGGGGGTATCCTGCATGAGATCAATCTGTTGGCCGCTGGCCTCCCATCCCCAGATATGGTCGAATTCAATGCCATGAACACGGTATTGCTCTACAAACCATTCTTGCGAAGCACCACCAGGCCCGGCTGTGTATCTGTGCGGTGCACAGTGAGTGGGAATTGGGATTGTCAACCCTTTTACAAATGTTGTGCGGTCCAAAAAGAGCACAGATTGCACAGTTTACACATAAATACTCGGATACGCACGCACACACACACACACACATATATATATATATATATATATGTGCGTGTGTGTATGTATACATACAGACAT